GAAAAAAACTCAAAATTCAGCCATGAACAGTTATTGTCGCGGACTGCTGTGTTTAAAACACAGAATCCAGCAAATTTCTTCCATTTTTTTTCTCACATCTCTCACCCCCAAACCCCTTAGCACCCTTGGGGAAGATAGAGGAAAGGAAGAAAGGGAGAAAGGAGGTCATTAGAGCTTGGGTTTTTGGTTTGAAACTTTGATTCAAGGTAGGGGTTTTTCTTCCATGCTTGTCCATTGAGGCTAAGGCTAAAATATATATATGTTTTGACTCATACTTGTATGTATTTGCTAGGAATTCCTTGTTTCTTGGTTTTCTTGCAATTATGGCATGTCTTAAACAAAGTTAGGATTGATTACCCATGAAACTTCTTTTATAGCTTTAAAACCCTAGTTTTTGGGGAAATATGGAATTCTCTTTCTACATTTGCTCAAGCTTGGTTTTGAGAACTTTAGTGCTTTGTGTGAGTAATGAAAATGATGTGGTGGTGATCTCTTGTATTTTNTGGATCCCGAGGTGGACGCTTAGAGCGACACTTTTATTTTGTTCTAGACTAGATTATACTTAGAATATCCTTTTGAAGTCTAGTTCTTTTTTTTTGTTATTTTCGCTGCGTTATATTATTACATTGTGGAGATGTAAAGGCCAAGATTGGACCTATTCTTTTGGGATGATAGTGTGGATATGACATATGATGAATGAAAGTTTATTTTATGATGGATAAATAGACCCGGTGTGGTCAATAGTTATGCATATGTGGACCCGGTGTGGTCAATTGTAATATAATTGTACAGGTTGTGTTTTGGGTAAAGCTCCCCGTACAAAGGAGACTGTCCAAATTTTGTTAAAATATGAATGGTTTTTAGAATGTAATGTCACCCAAGGGGGTTTTTGGGGCGTTACAGCTTCACTTGAACTCACTGCCACACAATTCGTTTAGGGCTTGAGCACTCCTAGGGCGCACCCAAGAATCTCGGTATACACACCCTTCAATGGGTTTGGTTGGAACTCCCATCTCAAGACTACTCGAGTGGCTTGAGAGTGACCCAGAGGGTGGCCTTCACTGCTTATTCGTTAATCCTTACTTGATTTTGTTCCTATCTGTTCAAAGACCGTGCTATCCGAAGACAAACGAATAGAGAACGATCCCTACTGGTTTTAAAATTGGAAAATAAGCAAAAACTTATCCACTTAAGAATTAAGCGATGTTGCTCAAGTAGGGTCCGATTAATGATCCAAATCTATGTTTTCAAAAAACAATAAGGTTTAGATTTGGTTTTTTTTTTTTAAAAACACCTAGGAGTCATTCGCATATCTATATTTGATTTCATTTTAACCAAACCATCCTAGGTCTAAAATAAAACCAAGGGTGCGAAGGTATCTAATGTTTTATCTTTATCCCAAGTATAAATGTGCATACGGAGAGTCTTGATGTGCCGTTGTTGCTTCAATTCCTCCCTTCATTTGCTATTTTGAATCTTTGACATTGTAGCATCATGATTATGGAATAGGTTGAGATTTTCAAAAAAGCTTCACAAAATTAGTCAATTAGAAATATGATCCTAACAATTACTTCCAACAGTGGATTGTTGATCTTCACCTGCTTGAATTACTTAAATATTTCTACATTTTGATTTCAAACTCTGAGGCTTCTTCAATCCCTGATGAAATGGTGCAGGTATAGGGCACACTTTCGATGTGCACCTTAGTTTAAAATGACGTGACTCAGATTCGATTTGCGCATTAACTAACACAAGCTGAATAACGAACGCTAGTAGAATAGTGGTTTGGAGTGAACCCTGGGGTGTGTCGTATATTCAGACGCCTTGGTTTCAACCTTGTCATGGTAATGATGAATTAAGAATGTCAGAAAGTTTTGCGTGCAAGTCTCTAAAAGTTTCATCCTCTAACATCCTTAAGGTCTCAAATTGGGTGGTGTACCCTTGAAGTCGGGACATCTTCGTGACAGACCTCGAGAATATCCCACGCCTCATTGGAAGTCTCAGAATCGGATATCCTATGGAACTCATTTGGGGAGACGACATTGAATATCGCATTCAAGATTTTAGAGTTGCACCCTGGCAAATCATACTAAGCTTTTGTCCAAGTATTGAGGGGTTTTAGTTCAACGACCGGCTCACCACCTTCAACGGAGGTAGTGACTGTTGGAGGGCTCCATCCCTTTTTCATGTACAACCACACTCACTCATCAATTGATTTTAGAAAAGCTCTCATTCGAGCTTTCCAATAAGCATAATTCATCCCATTGAAATCATGGACTTAACTAAAGAAGAAACCTCTTATTTGCTCTTTCTAGTGAGTGCAATGCTTCATGTTATTAGAGCATGAACGCATAAGAGTCTCTTTCTTTGAAGTCGGGGCTTCAGAAAGTAAGTAATCTTTTAGCAAGTAAACAAATGTTCAAGAGCTACTGTAAGTATGAGCCCTAAACCTCTTTCTTTTTGAGAATCCATTAAAGGTCTAACTCGTAGTCACAATAGATTCCAAAAACACAAACATTAGGTAATGTAAGCAAATATGTAATATGTCTATTAAGTGCCTAAAACAATCTTAAAGGGAGATTTGTTATGATACCAATTGTAAGGATAAATGTTACCCTTATGCATAATGGATCATCGCTCATGAAGACAAACCTCAATTACCCTATTCTAAAAATTCAATTAGTCAATTAAAGGTTAGAACCCCTTTATGAAAGAAGAACTCAATGAACCATGAAGGTTGATGCGATGGATTTGTCACTTTTAATGTTTAACACTCAATCTCTCATGGTGATCCGACCCAAGGTAAGAAACAACCGGCCAAACCACTATGTATGATATGAATTGTCTAACAATCAAGTAAATAAACACATAATGCTCATGTGTGCCTACAAATCAAAAGTGTGAAAATATATAACAATAAAGAACACAAAAAATTTGTTGACATGGAAACCCCTCTTGAAAAAAATTGTGGGGAACTACTCAGAGTTCACTAAAGCCTATTCCACTATCCAAAAATCAGTTTATAAGTACTAAAGACTTATACCTCAACCAGTACCATGGTTAGACACTCATTTCCTTCAATAAACCTCTCTGTCAAAAATCTTTCTTCAACGTTGTGGATAACTTCACTTGAACTTACTACCACACAATTCATTTAGGCCTCGAGAACTCTTAGGATGCACCCAAGAATCTCAGTACGCACACGTTCCAATGGGTTTGATTGGAACTCCCATCTCAAGACTACTTAAGTGGCCTGAGAATGACCCAAAGGGTGGCCTCCACTACCCACTCATTCATCCTTACTTGATTTTATTCCTAAGTGTTCAGAGGTTGTTCTATCCAAAGACAAGCAAGCAAAGGATTGTCCCTGGTTTTAAAACTAGAAACCAAGCAAAAACTTATCCCCTTAAGTATTAAGGGATGTTGCTCAAGTAGGGTCCGATTAATGACCCAAATCTATGTTTTCAAAACACAAGAAGGTTTAGAAAAAAAAATTTTGTGTTAATTGTAATGAAGGTCCCTAATGTTTCAATTGTATCATTTTAGTTCTTGAAGTATTGAATATATTTTTATATAGCCCCTCAAGCAGACAGTGTTTGGATTACTAACAATTTTTTATTATAAACTTGTCACGTGATACTTAAATATGGACAAAAAAATAATTTGGATAACTCTTGACCAAATTTTTATTCAAATTTTGGTTAAATAGCTACTTAAATTACATAGTTTTGATCATGAGTTATCCATATTTTGGTCAAAAGCTACTCATATTACACTTTTTTTTGTTAAGAGGTACCTAAATTTTGTTTAAGAGCTATCAAAATTATTTTTTGTCCATATTTAGGTATTACATGACAAGTTTATAATAAAAAATCGTTAACAATCTGGACGTTGTCGGCTTGAAGGACGATATAGAAACATATTCAATATTTTAGGGACCAAAATGATACAATTAAAACATTGAGGACTAAAATGAGACAAACCCCATATTTTGAGGACCTCTAGTATAATTAACCCAACTTTTTTTTTAAGAACACCTAGGAGTTGTTCTCAGATCAATAACTGATTCCATTTTAACCAAACCAACATAGGTCTAAAGTTAAACCAAGGGTACGAAGGTATCTATGACATGTTTGTTTCGAGTATAAAATTTAGGTGGTATAAGGTTTTATATACATTCCACTCCAATCCAATAGTATATTATATCCGGTGTTAAACTATAATCTCATCATTCTCCTTGTTTGTTTATCACAAATATTATCTGTGTAATACCTACTTAAAAAAGTCAACAATTGCAGCTAACCAATGTAAAAGACAATTTTAACCTTTAAAAAATCAAAAATTGCGGCTAGGCTTTTATATGAGAATTGTATTGGAGGGCATTTTGGTCTTTTTAGTTTATAATACTTATACCAAGAATATAATACCACCCTCTAGGTGGTATTCATTAAGACCTTCTACAAGGCATTATGACTACTGTTCATAGCGGGTCGGTATTACGACCCGAAAAATAGTACTGATGTCTAATACTCAAAACAAACGGCCCCCTAATGTCTTATCTTTATCCCATGCATAAAGGTGCATACGAAGAGTCTTGATGTGTCATTGTCGCTTGAATTCATCGCTTCATTTGTTATTTCGAATCTTTAAAATTGTAGCATCATGGCCATGGAATATGTTGAGATTTGTAAAAAGGTTTCATGAAATTAGTCCATTAGAAATATGATTCTAACAATTGCTTCCAACAGTGGAACGTTGATCTTCATTAGCTTGAATAACTTAAATATTTGTACATTTGATTCAAACTCTGAGGCTTCTTCAATCCTTGAGGAAACCGTGCAGGTATAGCGCACACTTTCGATGTGCACTTTAGTTTAAAATGACATGACTCAGATTCGATTCGCACATTAACTAACACAAGCTGAATAATGAACGCTAGTGGCATAGTGGTTTGGAGTGAACCCTGGGGTGTGTCGTATATTCGAACATCTTGGTTTCAACCTTGTCATGGTAACACCTTGATTACAGTTATAAAAGCAATTAAAATGTGATCGTAGGTACCCAAGGTTTACTCTAAAGGTGACTTGAATGTGATTCTATTGTGGAGAGATTCCTTGTTAAAAAAAATACAATATGGATAAGTTACCACAAGACTCAATTGACATGATTAGATTTAATATATTTTCATTTGTTCCATGGCAGAGATTCCTCCCATCAGACTTCGGATGTGAAGAGGATAGGGTGACTGTTTTGCCCCCATTCCAAGCTTTTCTCAATCAAAAGAAGATGATTCGAAGGGCCATAGAAGCAGCTGGGATCCCCTATTCCTTTGTGTCCGCTAACTGTTTTGGTTCATACTTTGTGAATTTATTGCTCCATCCACACGAGCAAAGGGAGGATATTACTGTGTACGGCAGTGGCGAAACTAAAGGTAATGCTTGTTTCCACTAGCTTTAAACACATTGTACCCTTAACTATGTTGACTTGTGATCCTTTGCACAAATTGTTTATTTTTGAACCACTCACTTGTCACTGTAGGAAAGAGTACCCCTAAACGATTACTATGAAACAGTTAATGATTTGTGCGAACAAATTTTAATAACTTAAGGTTCAAATTAATATAAGTATGGGTAACAAATAAAGGTCATAATTTACGGGGTCAATATGTAATTAATTCTTATTTTTTTAATCTTTGTCCTAATTTGATGCGATATTCAATGACATTTTTAGCTGTGCTAAACTACGAAGAAGATATAGCCGATTGTACAATCAAAGTGGCAACCGACCCTAGAACATGCAATCGCGTAGTGATCTATCGTCCCCCGATGAATGCTATATCACAACTTGAATTGATCGTTCTTTGGGAGAAGAAAACTGGTCAAACTTTCAGGAGGGTTCATATCTCTGAGGAAGAAATTGTGAGCCTTTCAGAGAGTAAGTACTTCATTCCCGATATTATTTCTTATGTTAGTTTTCATCCATCAAATTACTTCTTAGAAATTCAACAGCTTTCTCTAAGTTATAGGTGAAGCATATGGAATAACACTCTGGCACATTTAAACCTCCTCAGACTCTATAGCAATAAGAGCCTTATGCACCATATTATCCTTTTTTGAGTTAAAACGATATAGAATGAGCCTTGTGGCAGTGGTTACCTCAGCGTCACGGTCTTTAGTTGGTGCATGCAATGTAAGATTGTTTGTTTTTGACCCTATTTTAATATCTATAGTGATGAAGTCCTCGTGCATTGAACCACCATTTTCAATAAAAAGTATAATTTAGGTGAGCTGCTTTAAAGGTTCAATACGTGAACCTATTTGGCGGTGTTTTTTTTTTTTTTTGGGTTACTAGTATTTTTGGTCTTTAAAGTATATTTTTTGTCAGTTTAGTCTTTATTGTATCAATTTTATCAATTTAGTTCCTAAAATATTTAATTCGTATCATTTTGGTCTTTACATAAACGAACTGTTAAGTTTTTGACAAAATGATCACTTATTGGACACTTAATACCATCTAAAAAAATAACACGTGGTCTCTTCCGTTAAAAAACATGATGAATTGTGTGATTAGGGACCAAAATGAAAGAAATTAAATGTTTTAGGGACTAAATTGATACAATGAATACTAAATTGACAAAATTACATGCTTTAGGGGACCAAAAATACTATTAACCAATTTTTTTTTATGTCCTGTCTGCAATTTTGCTGAAATACATTTTTTTAGCACCTTTTATTTTTTTCAACAGCCTAAAGCACTCCTACAATCAAATTGAAGCTTTAACATCCTATCTGTAGTAGGAGATCTTTCCTAACCAGGCCCACATAGGAGCTATTGAACCCATTGAAGTATAGGCTTAAGACTTTAACAAGAAGAATAATGATATTCTCTATATGTACTGTTGCAGCTCTCCCTCATCCTGACAACATACCAGTATCCATCCTACACAGTCTTTTTGTTAAGGGTGTGACAATTAACTTTGATATAGGATCAAATGAAATAGATGCTTCAAGGCTATATCCGGATTTTCAATTTACTACAGTTGAACAGCTTCTTGATATCTTTCTCTACAATCCTCCAAAGCCTGCTTCTGCAGCATTTGAGTAAGCTTTAAATGGTCAGAAACTATGTATTTTGAAGATTTTAATGTTTATCGTACTCAAGACTGTAATTTTACTATCCTAATGCACAATGTTGAAGTTATGATATGATTGTGATTCGGGATTCTCTTGTGACCGTTTGACAAACATTTGCTCACACTTTGGAGGCTAAATGGAATTTTGTTCCTATAAAATTTTAAAACTTTTATTCTACTTATTCAAACATTTAAAATTTCAAATTGCACCCAGAATATTTTAAATAGTAATATATGTCCAAAAAGCAATACATTGTTTTTTTTTGCCTCTTCGCACGACAAGTGTCGTTCATGAAAAGAACAAATGGCATGTTACATTTGAAGCACATTTCTAGCAATTAAAAAAAGATTTAATTGTAACCGTGGTTCCCAAAGTTTACACTTCTTCTTATTTTGGTCTCTAATATTACAATTGTATTGATGTATTGAATTTGCTTTTAAATGGTCCCCACATATAACGCCATCCAAATTTTTAACGATTTTTGCTTTTGTGCTTCCCACATGCTCCCAAATGAAGGGTATTTTAGACAAATCGTTGTCTACTTGACCCAAAAATTACAAAAGTAGACCCCTAAGTATGTTCTCCGCCTCATTTTGGTCCCCCAACATTAGAATATGTTAGGGACTAATGTGATACTATTGTAATGTTGGTGGACTAAAATGAGATGGAGAGTATACTTTGAAGACTATTGTCGCAATTTTTGGGTCAATTAGACAATATATTTATTTAAAATACTCATCATTTGAGAGCATATCTAAAGCACATGAACAAAAACTGTTAAAAATTTAGACAGTATTATATGTGGGGATCACTTAAAAATAAATTCAATACATCAGAGACCAATGTGATACAAAGTTAAAAGGCTACAAATTAAAAAGTTTTGATGATGTGGAAAAAAATCAGCAACTCCATTAGAGTAAAACTTTGACGAAAGTACCACATTAAAAAAGTAATTGTTAGGAGACCTGCCGAGATGGGAAAAGCTCTGAGCTTTGCCAATCCTCGTAACCCCCCCTTCCCCGCAACTGACTCATGTACAAAGGCTAAACGATAAGTTTATCAGCAATTCAAAATTCAAAAGACTCCTTAGCAGAATTTGCAATCTCCATTTGGAGGGAAATAGGTTAAGACCACTCATCTCAGAGGAGTCTCAACCTGCTTAACAATGGGAGAGAGAGTCAAAAACTCCTGATGCAAAACGTGTCTTGCTCGCGTCAAGAGATGGTTAGGGGAACCAGACTCCTCAAACAAGAGGAGTCTGATTTCCCATGCCTCAAGAGATGGTCAGGAGAACTAGACTCCTCAAACAAGATGAGTCTGATTTCCCAATAGCAGATAGGGGAGTCTAGATTTCACTCCCCTATGGAAACTTATTCCTAGACTATAAAAGGGAGCTCATTAGGTTAAAATTATCACTTTTTTTTGTTAAGATTATACTTTTTTTTGGTTAACAATACCACTTTTTTGGTTAACATTACCATTTTTTTTCATTAAGATTACCACTTTTTTGGTTAAGATTACAATTTTGAGATTAGAGTACTACTTTTTTGGTTAACATAACCATTTTTTTGGTTAAGATTATCACCTTTTTGGTTAACAATACCACTTTTTTTTTGTTAAGAGTACCATTTTTTGTTAACATTATTACTTTTTTAGTTAACATTACAATTTATTAGGTTAATATTACCACTTTTTTAATTAAGATTACACTTTTTTTGGTTAACAATATCACTTGTTTTGTTATTATTACCATTTTTTTGGTTAACATTATTACTTTTTATGGTTAAGATTACTCTGTTAAGGTAAGAGTACCACTTTTTTGATTAACATTACCATTTTTTTAGACAAGATTATCACTATTTTTTGGTAAGATTACCATTTTTTAGGGAATATTACCAGTTTTTAAGTACAAAATTATCACTGTCGAGGTAAAAGTACCACATTTTTGTTATCATTACCACTTTTTTTGTTAACATTATCAATTTTTTGGTTAACACAACTACTTTTTTGGTTAACATTACCATTTGATAGGTTAAGATTATCACTTTTATTTGTTAACATTATCATTTTGTTTGTTAAAATTACATTGGTGAGGTAAGGGTACCACTTTTTTTGTTAAGATTAAACTGTTGAGGTTATAGTATCACCTTTTTTAGTTAAATTACCATTTTTTTTGGTTAAGATTGCACTGTTGACCTATCCACCCTTTTTAGCGATCAAGAGTGCCGATCTTATTAGGACCGATCCACCATTCTTTATCGATCAAGACAATGGATCTAATCAAGACTGATCTTGAGCGATAAACACTAGTGATTAAAGACACGGATCTTGAGATCAAATCAAGACCAATCAACTATCGATCTACACCGATCTTGGCTGGGATCTTGGCTGGGATCAAGACTACTTTGGTTTTGGTAATTATCATCTACTCTCGTGCTGGATAAAAATATTTTCAATCAAACCTCAAACAATTTTTGTAAGTACAATTCAATTAAAATTCGAGCCGATTTACGTATTAAAATTCAAACCCATTAAAATTCATTTTTCTACAAATATTTGAGACAATTGAGCTGATTAAATTTTATTTTTTTACAAAGTTTAAGTCTATTAACATGAAATTGAATGTTAATTTGATTATTAATTGGATGGATTTGCATATTACTTTGATATTGATTTGATAAATTGAAACTTTATTGGATGATTTAGGATATTAATTTGATGAATTGAGTTTTAATTGGATGAATCTAAAGATAAATTATATGAATTGAATGGTAATTTGACGTTAATTTGATGAATTTAGTGTTAATGGGATGAAATTAAATACTAATTTGATGAATTTAATGTTAACTAATTGAATTTCAATGTTAATTTAATGAATTAAATATTAATTTGATAAATTAAATGTTTATAAAATGAATTGAATGTTAATTTGATGAATTAAATACTAATTGAATGATATTTAATATTAATTTGATGAGTTCAACGTTAATTGGATGAATTTGAAGGTTAATGTGATGTCAATTTCTAAATTGCATGTTAATTAAATACTTTATAGATAAAATTGAAAACATTGATATTTTAGATATCAATCTGACAAAATGTCCATCTTTAAGGGATAAAAGTGTTATTAACCAATTAGGAAATCAAGATCTTTGTCTAGACCGATCCTTGTTTGTCATTATCGATCTTGATTTAGCAATAGGTTAATAACAATTTTATCCCAAAAGTATGAATGTTTTATTAATTGGGCCCTAAAGTATGAATTTGTCAATTTGTTCTCTAAAATATTTAATTAACATGTAATTAACAAATTAATATTGCATAAACTTATTCAAATTCCTCCAATTTATATCCAAAATCATCCAATTAACATTTAATTCATTCAATTAACATCCAATAAAAAATTAATTTATCAAATCAACACTAAACTAACATTCAATTTCATCCAATTTATATTTAATTTATCAAATTAATACCAAATTAATATTTAATTTATCAAATTAACATTCATTTCCATCTAATAATAATTGGGTGAAATTACATGTTACTTTGGTGTTGATTTGATAAATTAAATATTTTTTAAATAGTTTTGGATATTAATTTGATTAATTGAGTGTTAACTGCATGAATTTGAATATAAATTAGATGAATTCAATGTTAATTTAGCGTTAATTTGATTAATTTATTGTTAACTTGTTGAATTTGATTGTTAATTTATTGAATTAAATGCTAATTAGATAAAATTGAATGTTAATTTGATGAATTGAATATTAATGAGATGAAATTGTATGTTACTTTGATGTTAATTTGATAAATTGAATCTTTATTATTTGATTTAGAAAGTTAATTCAATGAATTGAGTCTTAAATGAATGAAATTAAAAGTTAATTTCATTAATTAAATGTAACTAGTTGAATTTGAATGTTAATTTAATAAATTGAATATTTAATCAATGAAATTGAATGTTAATTTGATAGATTAAATATTAATTAGATGAAATTGTATCTTACTTTAGTGTTGATTCGATCAATTGAATCTTTATTGGATTATCTTAAATGTTAATTTGTTGAATTGAGTGTTAATTAGTTAACATTAAATTAATCAAACAAACTATTAAATTCATGCAATTAACACTAAATTCATTCAATTACCTGTCCAAATCAAATAGTAAAGATTCAAGTTATCAAATTAACACCAAAGTAACATATAATTTCATCTAATTAATATTCAATTCATCAATTTAACACCAAAATAACATACAATTTCATCTAATTAATATTCAATTCATTAAATTAACACAAAATTAACATTCAATTTTTTCTAATAAGTATTTATTTCATTATATTAACATTCAAATAGTTTAACACTGTTTGAATAAGTTTACCATTTTTTTTTTGTAAATCAGGATTGATCTTAATTGTCCTACCGATCAAAACTTACGAATCAAAGCTTAGTAATCATAGCTTAAATCAAGACTGGTCCTTTGACATGTTTAAAGATCAACCATTTAACTTAAATCAGACTGGTCTTAGTTATCCTAGTGATCAAGATTACCACTTTTAGGGGGTAAAAAACCACTTTTGGGGGTAAGTTACGACTGTTTGAGGGTAATGTACCACTTTTTGAAGTATAATGTATCATTTTTTGGAGGTAAGTTATCACTTTTGTAGGGTAAGATACTATTTTAGGGGGTAAATTATCACTTTTTGGGGGTAAGGTACAACTGTTTGGGAGTAAGGTACCACTTTTTAGAGATAAATTATAATTATTTGAGGGTAAAATATCATTTTTTTGGAAAAATGTAGAACTTTTTTGGAGAAATTATAATTGTTTGAGGGTAAAGTACCAATTTAAAAAATTATCACTTTTGTGGGTTAAGTTATCACTTTTTTGAAGTAAAATATCATTTTTTGGGAGTGAAGTATCCTTTTTTGAGAGAAAACACTAGAACCGAGGTTTTAATGGATAAATATCAACTACCGAAATCCCTTAATTTTTCGGTATGATACTGATAACGTAAAAGGCGATTTTGAAGCAACTCCAAAAAATATAACTTCAAAAAAATTAATGGTGGGCCCGTACCCTAGTTTCCTCTTAGCTCTGCCTGGTTAACGCTAATGATAAAAGTGGGTCTGTCTGCTCCCTATCAAAGAAAACACAAGTTGGCGTCAGTCTCCTCAACTTTCTGGATAGCATTGAAGTTAACAAGGAAGAACAATAAAGGGGAAAAAAAATGAAATTGGGTAAGTGTGAAACAGTATAAGAACGAGTGTGGAGTCATGAACTGTATAATAGAAACTCAAGTTTCAGTTCAATGGCAAGGGAGGAGAGCAAGATTCTTATTTTCGGCGGAACAGGTTACATTGGTAGCTACATGGTGAAGGCAAGCATCAAGTTGGGCCATCCAACTTACGTCTATTCCCGCCCAAACTCCACTAAGATAGACTTGCTTAACGAGGTCCAGTCCTTGGGTGCTACAGTAGTCAAAGTGGAGCATCTCTCTCTCTCTCTATCTCTCTAGGGTTGGATGTGATATATATGCAACAGTAGGTACTCAAAGTATTAACTTATATTTTACTGCAAAATGTTGATGGAATGAAACAGGGAGAACTGGAGGAGCATGAGAAGCTTGTGTCTCTGCTTGAGGAAATAGATGTGGTGATCTCGGCACTTGCATATCCACAGGTTCGGGATCAACTCAAAGTCATTGAGGCCATCAAAGTTACGGGTAATATAAAGGTATGCTTGCATTCCGAAGGTTAACACACAAACACACGTATGTCTCGCAGACTCCAAGATTTTCCTCGTTTATGAATGATTCTGAATATGAAACTACCGAGGTTAGGGACCAGATAAATCCGTGTGTTGAATCCTTTTTTGATATTTTAAACTTTTAGTGTCGGTGGTGGTTCAAGATGGTATCAAGACCCCTCTCCCTCTCCCTCNCCAGATAAATCCGTGTGTTGAATCCTTTTTTGATATTTTAAACTTTTAGTGTCGGTGGTGGTTCAAGATGGTATCTAGACCCCCCTCCCTCTCCCTCAAACCAACAAATCCCTCTCTCTCTCACTACAAGAAAATATTACTTCTTTTTCATCCATATTTCTTTGATGATGATAATTCAACAATTATTATTAAAACAGTAATGTTAGACTGACTAAATTTTGAAACTAAATTTAGAGTCCAAATGACATGACAGTTGATTTGGACTTCTTTGATGAATCTATTACCAAAATGCAGTGGTTTTTAAACAATATTACCGATCTATAGTCGTTTTAAACTTATTTACCAAACTACGACTGTTTTTAAAGGCGGAATCAACACATCCGACTTCAGTTGAAAGCGGATTCTCTAAGTCTGACTTCGTTAAAAAACGGATTTAAGGAGTCCGACTTCACTGTAAAAGCGGAAGCGTTAAATCCGCTTTCTATGGAATCAGACAACTTTTTTTTAAACCCACAGGAAAGCATAGAAGACGGCTTTGTCACTGCCGCTTTCTAATGAAGGCGGTTTTGACAATTCCGCTTTCATTAGGAAGCGACTTTTGCAATTCCGCTTTCTGATAAAGGCGGCTTTTCCAATTCCACTTTTTGACGAAGGCGGGTTTACCAACACCGCTTTTATTCATATATAAAAAAAAATTAAACAATAAATTTTATTATGACATTCACTTATTCTCACCACCCCTACCTAAATAATAAATAATAAAATAACTTTCACAAGTTTAAATTATCAAAAAGACATCCCATCCAAACAAAGAAACCCTATCCATTCAAAAATATAATTGTTCAAAAATAACTATAGCAATGTAACCACCCAATCCCAAGCAACAACTCTCCATGTGATGATTACAAATAATTTAGTATATATAAATATTAAACAATAAATTTAATTATGACATCCACTTGTCATTCTCACCACCCCTATAAAACAACAAATAATAAAAATAATTTTTACAAAATTTAAATTATCAAAAATACTACCCATCCCAAACAAACCTTATATATCATAAAAATAAAGAAACCCTTATCTGTTCAAACTATTATTGTCCAAAAATAAATATAGCAATCTAACCACCCAATCCCAAGCAACAAACCCCAAGTAAGGGGAAAGGAGATTTTATTTATTGTGCGATAAAAACATTACAAATCAACATTTATAATGAAGAGATTTTAAGTCTTTTCATTATAAATAGAACTATAAGATTAGATATTAAACAACATAATATATTAATGGTAGTCATAATTTTTTTAATGAAGACCATATTTCAAACAACACACAGGAGTGCCATGATAGCAAAGAGTAGTAGGGAGAAATTTTGCAGTATAATCATCATCACTCGATTCTTCAAAATCAGAAAGTTCATTGTCAGATGCCAATGATAGATCAGATAGTATTGCATTAATGGGTTGTACAGGGTTAGAATGTTCAATCTTTGCCTTTGTAATAAGGTGGAATCGATTTAGTCGTCGTTCCATCTGATCATTCTCAAGAGACAGTGTTGCAATGATATCATCGTAGTTATCCGTGCACCATTCCACATACATTTCAATTGAACGTGCCTGTGGCACTCGTACTTCATGCCAATGACAATATACTTCAAGCTCACAGCGCTTGAAATAAGATTTCAACCAACTTGGTCCCGGTAAGTGATAATAAAACTCTAGGGGCGGAACAAAGGTTGCAGGTCCAATCGTCACATGGCCGACTTCGGTGAAAGGGTTATGAATATTGATTGACTCATTCTTAAAATAACGTAATTTTCCATACCATGCTACTCCAGTGGGATCTGTGTAATTACCGGGTTCTGGTGAACTAAATGAAGAAAATATTTCATGATGGTAATGGTTGGTTGGGAAAGAGTCATCGTTAGGTTGGCTTGAAGACCCATTTGGTGACGTTGTTGACATTATAGTGTATGTATAATTTTCACTGCAGTTTATGTAGCTATATTTAAACAGGAACGTAAGTTAATTTAATATTACACTCATTGTATAGAGTGATACAGTGACAAATGAACAAATGTACTGACTGGACAGTAATACAGTGACGTGTGAACAATGATAGTGACTATACAGTGATAAAGTGACAAGTGAATAATGATAGTGAGTAGACAGTGATAAAGTGACGAGTAAATAATGATAGTGACTAGACAGTGATAAAGTGATGAGTGAATATTGATAGTGACTAGACAATGATATAGTGACTACTGAACAAGTATAGCGACTACACAATCATACAGTGTTGTAATTAAATAAATGGTATTTACATAATAGTGGCATCACCATTGACAACTTAGCATTGATAGTAAAGTGTTGCGTGCAGTATTGCTAAGCTGAATAGTTGTACGAGTAGTCAAATCATCATATTGAAAAAAATTATAGGCACAGTTGTCTAAACAGTTACTATGACTACCACCAAAATAGCACTATAAATTGATTGTGTGTGTTGCTTCGCTTACCAGACTGTAACTGCAAAAATGAGTTATAGTCCACGCTCAATGTTTGAAACCATGAGATATCATTGGGCGTTAGAGAATGAATTCTTCTATCCTCTAAATCCTCATTTACGTTTCTCTCAAAGGTCCGTGAATAGGATGATAGGGGAATGACAATATCGTTTGAATGAGAGAGAAGTTCTGAGTGAAAATTTACGCATTTGTAACATACGCAGGCCACGACAAATTGCCATTAACATGCCTATTGAAACACCACAAGAGTTGGAAGGTGCATTGTGGCGTATTCGTGCTGAAAACAACTGTATGACAATATGGCAAACTCGTTACAACCTTTGCCAAATTGCAGGCGACCGTGTTGTAGAAGGTTTGGTTGAGGAAGCTCGTTTGTGCCTACAGTTGTCTATGGAAAGAGGAAGTATTTCTGACGTTGAAATGTCGGACGAAGAAAGTTTCCCATGATGAAGATGTATTATGCATATGTTGATTTATGCACTAGGGGTTTTATTATGGTGTGTCGTTTGTTATAATAATGATTTACAGATTGACTATTGTGTTGTTGTAGTTTATCTGTATTGTCAGTATGCATTGTCAGTAATTTATCATTATCTGTATTGTCATTATGCAGTACTAAAATATAACGTACCATTTGTTGTCTTATTTTATCTTAACCATTGAAGTGGAGAATAACGCTAAACACAACAATGCATACAATATTTAGAAAATACATATACATTTGTAAACAATAGGAACCATATATTGGATTAAAGTATTTACAATACTTACTTTTAAACATAATGAATTTTAAAAAATTTCGACAGAGTTTCCCTTAAAACTTTGTCATACCCAAAAATTGAACACCTGTATATACAATATGAAAACAACAACAATCCCAAAAACACAACCATATCACCACCCAACCATAACCACCACCACCAACACCCAAGCACAAGTACCACCAACAGCAGCCAACCACCAAATCCAAAAAACTCCACCACATAACCAATAAAAATACATACAAACTACATGAACATATACATGTTACAAAAAATGGCAACAAATGATAAAACATGACAACACTAAGTCCCACAAGACGGCTTCTTCTTGAGCTGTTTTGGACACCTATCCTATAACTGTGATGGCTCAGCATCGCACAGCTGTGACACCGGATCTCCGACTAGAATAGTATCTCCACCCCTGCCTTTGCCTCATCCACCCCATCCTCTACCATCGCGGCCTTGAACACCTCTGAATCTGCCTCCTCGACCTCGACCTCGACCTCGACCTCGACCGCGACCACGAACTAATGAAATTAGATGGGCTAGTAGAGTCATAGCGCGGTGATGTGACCTATGCACAATTGCGGGCGTCGTAGGAAGTCCTATACCATGACCCTGCGAAACCTCATCTGATGGATCTGAAATATGAACATCTGTAGGCGGAGATGGCATCAATGCATCATGACAGACAAGCAAGCTCGGTAATGTGACTACTGAAGCATCTGATGTATATGTCTCTAGTCCTACCATGGGAGAAATATGTGATGTGTGGTACTCAATATGTCTGCAGGTCTCGGTCAATGGTGGTGGATGGGGTGTATTATGTGCTGATGTATGGTGGGGACTCGATGTGAATGATGTATTTGCACGTACTATGGATGGTGACTGCTAATGCCTAGTAGGTGCTGACGTAGGCTCTGCTGCACTAGTCTCCGGTACTGCGTCGACCCTGAAATCTACCCGAATATCAGCTCGGTGGCGTGGATGTCTCTATCATGGTAAAACTATACCATGAGGCCGCGTAGGTACATCAGGTTGTGCAATCGGTGCAGTGTGTGGCATAGGCTTGGTGTGGACGGTACGATGTAGACGATGGTCCTCTCGAACCGCCTCGAGACTAGTGGAGATAAGAGCTCGGGCCGTCTGCAGTGCCTTTCTATGTGCTGCATCCGTACCATCCGCAAGGGCAGCTTCTGCAACCTGGTGAATCTGGACAAGTGTATGCTGCTGCAAAAGTAAAATGCACATACATTAGCATAATATACTTTATGTATTTGTAAATCATGAATATAATGACAAATGCACTTAGCAATTATCTCACCAAAATGTCGATTATGCTACCCATCGGCTAGAATCCAATATGTGGAGGATCTACTGGCGGTCCGATCAACCGTCGAGTGATACGATTGTACCACCCCATATACGCATGCAAACTCATATCAATATCTGATGTAGCTGCCTCTCCTACAATAACATGCTCTCGCAGGTGTGCCCATACATCTACAGACAACTGATGTACAATACTCCAG